CAACCCTTTGACTTGGTGGTACAGATCCATTTGCAATGAATCGTAGAATACAATGAACTGTAATTTGAGGTCAAGAAATAACCCTTTCTCAGTTCATCCATGAATATCAAGTAGCATTTTTGTAGGAGCCATTGCGTTGCTGAGTTATCTCTGCAGCCTTCCTGATCAGCGCATTTTTCTTGTGAAATGTACGCAAAAGCATTAGAGTGCATTGTTTTTATGTGAATTTATGTGAACCGCTCAATGACTATTTAGCTGAAATCATCAACCGATTTGCTGGTTTCTGCGAATAAGCAATATGAAGGTTTATTCAACAAAAAGTTGGTCATGATGGAACGCAATACTGAATATATCAGTAAACTGAAAAGTATTGACTTCACAAAGATCGACTTCGAATCAATTCTGAATATAATGAAGGAAGGTAAAACCATATTTAAATTCAACTGCAATTTGATGAAGAAGTGATAGTTTCAGTTGAATTATTTTTCCTCACTAGCAAAGCTATCTTTTCAACGTAACCAAGTGTTGCTGAAGGAATTTTAACTTGAAACGACAATTTCAGGTATAATTCTGCTCGGTAAACATATTGAACATTGGAAACGCTTTTTGTCCNTGGGTATTGCGGACGGAGCGTTGATGACTGGTTTGCACAACGACGATATTTATATGGATATGTTGTACGAGCACAGTTACATAACCATCGATATTGCAAAGGTCTTTCTGATGGTTCTTCTTATTTTCGAATCTCTTTGCTTCAACTTGAGGCATTCTCATATCATTGCTTGAAAATCATAACTGATTCTCACTACTCAATGTAGACTAAATTATGAGTGAGATTAAACTAAAAAGTTGCGTTCAGAACAAGTTCCTCGCCAATTTTTTCCTCTATATGGGCGAATAAATTTTTTAATTTAAGGCACTCAATGAAATGACTTCGACGTATCTGCGCGTCTCAAACAAACACGTATTTCCGCATCTTAACGGTATCACAAAACTGCTAGCACTTGAGGATCCAAAAGAGATCAACCAAGCCTTTAAACAACTAGCAGAGAACGCCAAATACTCCACAGAGGAGCTAACGGCGAGTCTGCGTGATGATTACGAGCAGCAACGCAAAAGAGTCAAGGATCGCGTAAAACAAATAAGTTGCTATGTGGACACTATCAAGGAGGATCCTGATGTTAAGCAAGCATTGGAAGAAAGTAATGTTGATATTGATATACCTGATTTTTAAATGTTAGGTGACATTGTTGTTTTAAAATGTTGATCACATAAAATGTTGATCACTTGTTAAACTCATTCA